ACCTACTACTCGCGGACGTAGAGATTGCACATACCCGCGCCGGTGCACTATTGGACTCAGGATCAACGCGATCCTACATATCCGAGAAAGCAATCCGCAAGTTGCATCTCGAAATGAAGGTAAAAAAATTGTCTTGACCAATCACGTCTATCCTAGCTGACAAAAGCACGATCACTGTCTCGCAATATGTTGATCGTGTGAAGTGTCCATTCCATACTAAGGAAGGAAAGAAGATTGTTCACGAGGTTTCCTTTCTTGTGGAGAAGAAGTTACCTTTTGATTTGATTCTGGAATGGATTGGCACGAGGAAGCCAACCCAGATATCAATTTCAAAGAGACGATTGTGCAATTGCGAGATGCACACTCTGAATTGAAGTCTGGCTCTGACTCTAGTCTGTCTTTCAGTTGTATGAGTTATCCAGCATTCTGATCGATGGTTTCAAAGAAAAAGTTGGAACAGGAAGTAATGATGGTTTTAGTAAAGAAAGCAGGTGAGTCTTCTACTTCCTATCCTCTTTCGACTGAAAAACTTCTAAGCGAGTATAAAGATTTATTCACTGAACCAACAGGAATAACTGAATGTGCTATCAAGCACACAATTGAAATTATTCCTGGCAGTAAGATTCGGAAGGGCCCTATATATCGAATGTCACCTAGTGAACTTGAGGAATTCGCCCTAGCTCCTCTCCTTATGGTGCCCCTATCTTGTTTGTGCCCAAAAAGGAAGGTGAGTTGCGTCTCTGTATTGACTACAGAGGGTTGAATGTTGTCACTGTTAAGAATGTCGAACCTCTACCTCGAATTGACGACTTGTTAGACCAATTGCAGGGCTGTAAGTATTTTAGTAAGACTATTGACTATTGAGGTGGTGATTGAGGAGGGAGCCTGAAGCAGGAGTGGGCCTTGTATTTATTTCCTCTCCTCTGTCTAATCTTCCTCCTCTCTCTTCGTTTGTGTATGATTATCTCATCTCATTCTATCGCGATACAATTTTGACTATTGATAATCATCAACTGGTTGACATTCAGGGCTTGCATTGTTGACGATTGTCTTCATGATCTGGGTTCGTTGCAAGACGGCCACATTCTGAAATATGTTTTTTTTTGTTTTTTTTTCTCGTTTGTTTGTTATGAGTCCCCTGCCAATGAGGCAAGGTGGAAACCGTGATCTGCGCTGGCTGTGTTTCCTTAGAGGATTGTAACCCTGATGTATCCAGCCATTTTTACAGCTGAATCCGTGTTTTCGTTTTTTTTTTTTTTTTAAACGTTTTTGAAATTTGACAATCTGAATCCGTGATCTGCTTGAGCTATGTTCCTCAGACGATTGTAACTCTCGTCACACGGGCACTTGGAGGAACGGGTGAATCCGTTTTTTTTTTTTTTTTTTTTTTTT